CATTATTTCTGTGGATGCGTGCGTGTGGTTAATTACAATTCAGTGTAATTTTATCTCAATTTATTATCATCATCATTATTATTATTATTATTATCATTATCATTATCATTATTATTATCATCATCATCATCATCATCATCATCATCATTATTATTATTATTATTATTATTATTATTATTATCATTATTATTATTATTATTATTATTATTATTATTATTATTATTATTATTATTATTAACAAAATTTGCACTAAATCCTTCACTGAAGGAATCTAGACAAAACAAAAATGAACATAAAAAACAAGAGTTAAAACAGGAGACAAGACGAAGGGTGAGGGAGAGGGAGAGGAGGAGGTGCTAACAATGGTCTGTCACCCCGCCCTCCATCCCTCACTGTTGGACGCTAAGCTGACACTCCCACCACCACCCTTCACACACACACACACACACACACACACACACACACACACACACATACACGAGTAGCTATTTTCTCAACGCTAATGAATGACATATATATTTAACGAGGTGGGAACTGAAGGTGGAAGGAGGGAACTGTGAGGGAGTAAAGGAGGTGAATGATGATGAAGCCAGACTAGAGTGATGGTGCATGGAGGGTGGCATGGTGGGTGGCATGGTGGGTGGCATAGTGGGTAGCATGAAACCAGCGACAGACAAGAGACAGTAAAGAGACAGATAGTTTTAACATGAAGAGAAGATAAGGAGAAAGTGAAGGATTGGTTATTAATAAGAGCATATTATAGCAGTCACGAAATACAGGTGTGTGTTGTATACCATCCCACACACACAGGTGAGAGCAGTTACCCCCCACACACACCTGAGGACGGATATCACCTGTTGAGAGACACTGACCCATAGAAGTATAGATGAACGGGAAAAATTATACATTGCTTTTCTATATAATTATTTCCTTCTGTGTTAAGTTATTAGCGTTATATAAGTAGCTGCTATACAATACAGGTGTTACTGAATGAAAGTAGAGCTATACAGGAAGATAGTTAGGGATTAGTGGTAAGAAGAATTTGTAAACTAGAGGAACCAAGACGTCTTTTATGAATAGTCTAAGAAAAGTTGAGGAGAAAAAACTGAGCCTTGAGGTACTCCAGCATCAATAGTAAAGTATAGGCTGAATATTAAGCCACCCAGCACAAGTACACGAATGTAAGAAAATCAGTGAGATTAAAAGAGAAAAAGAAGTTTGGCAAAGGCTTTAGAAATATCAAGAGGAGATATGATAAGACTCGGCCAACTTGTCAAGAAATTCAGTAGAGGTTTGAGGTTAGGATAGCGAGCACGTCTGTGGAGAGGATGATAAGCTGTGAGGCGGAAACAATTTGGATGTCAACGAAGAGGTGGTGGTGGTGGTTGTATGTTCTTCAGGGAGTATATAACAGATTATATTATATGAATTTACTATAACACATTTTTTTTAAGAGCTGTAGAGGTGATTATAGGAGGGAGACGTATAATGTCATCTATTTAAGGAGTCAACTGATTATTTAATGGCTAATTTCACCAAGACGACGAAACAATGTGAAAGGCTTAACGGCAATTCAGTAATTAAGGTGACTGGTACTCTTAGTTCTTGTACTTTCTTCTTTACCTCCTACTCCTCATTTTACTCCACTTCCCCTTCCTCCAATTCCACCTTTTCTCTTTCTCCTCCTTCACTTCCTTCTCTTCACCCTCCTCCTCCCACCTCTCCCCTCCTACCTCCCCTTCCATCTCCTCCCCCTCACATTCTCTGCTATGAACACGAGTCAGGAATTAGCTCGACTCAGAATCTGCAATTAAGGTGGCTGAAATCCCCGACCCTTGAACATTCTTCCCTGCTCCTTGGCTCCCTCCCACAGACAGCTGGCGGAGGAAGACGCGGGTGAATTCAAAGGCTTGATGATGGTCGTCTGGTGAATGTTACCTAACGAGACTCCTATTAGGTCGAGGACGTGGGTGGTGGTAGTGGTGGTGGTAGTGGTGGTAGATGGTTGTTACTGCTACTGGTGGTAGTGGTGGTAGATGGTTGTTACTGCTACTGGTGGTGGTAGTGGTGGTAGATGGTTGTTACTGCTACTGGTGGTGGTGGTGGTGAGATGAATTACCAGGTTTAGTGTGTTGAGAAGAGGGGAAGTGGAGAGGGGCGATAAAGAGGGGTGGTGGAGAGAAGTGTTGAGAGGGGAAGGAGAGGACACACACACACACACACACACACACACATAACGAAATTAATATTCCCTGCGCTGTATAAATGAGCGTTGACGTCCTACTGCCGCACAGTAACGTCCCATCATAGCGACCAACACAGCACCGTCCCATCACAGCGACCAACACAGCACCACCCCTCACCTCAACACAGCACCACCCCTCACCTCAACACAGCACCACCCCTCACCACCCCATCACCGCCACCTAAGTAACATCACCCTGTATTCAACTATTGATTTATCACTATTGCTACGGACGCCACCCTGAGTCCCGCATGTCCACAAGTGACGATTTTGTGCCCTAAGTGTAGCGTGTGTGCGTGTGTGTGTGTGTGTGCGTGTGTGTGTGTGTGTGTGTGATGTAAGTTATTAATGTTTTAAGTAAGGTGAATGTAATGAGATTTATTCATTTATTCATTTATTTATTCGCGTTCCTATAAAAGGGATTTAATCGTATTGAAATAAATTATATATTGGGATTTATTCGTATTTAATATAACTAGTGGAGTGGGATTATTTTATGTTATATATTAGTGGTGTTATGGGATTTATATTTATTTAATTATAGTGTTTCTTATATTTAATGATATATGAATAAATTATATGATTGATACATCGAATAACTCTCAATATACTTAAGCAAATTCTAAGCTTATTTTATTAAAGTACACCAAAGCTTATATTGTTAAAGTAGGACTAAGCTTACTTTCATGACCAAAACCTGAGCTTAGTTTCATGTAGGTTTTGTGTGATTATTCGACTTTTCATTCCGGTAAGAGTAATTTCCTTTCTTCTGTTTCTTAAGTCGTAATATCGGTGTCTGGTGGTCAATATCAGTACAATTATATCGGTTTTAGATTACAATAAATTATATATCATCGTCAATTATAGTTAATGGAGACTTATCGTAATAAATAACGAGAGAAGTATTGCAGTGTTTTGTTTTTAGTTATTTTTTTATCAATATATTAAATTTTGTCCACCGATATATTGTAGATTGACACACACACACACACACACACGCATATGTACACCAAGCTCATTAGTAGACACTTAAAGAACCCAAACGATAAAAAAATCCTTCGTCTTAATTAGGTATATTATACAACAGCTATATCACTATTATAGCCTTAACGATTATCTAACTTTGGGATTATAGATTAAAAAAAATATGACAATAGTTCGTATTATCCTTATTAATCCTCAAACTCGACAAAGGAATGGATCCTTCGGGTATATCCTACAGACAACCTCTACTGAAGGATGTTGGTGTTTACATTATCCATTAGTCTCGTGTTCTTATCCTTCAGTTATCACACACACTCTAGGGTCTGTCTCTATACCATCTGCTGAAAAAGAGATGGATCGATTCTCTCATGAGTTCTTATATGTGATTGAGTAAAGTGCGTTATAACTTGGTCGAGAGAGAGAGAGAGAGAGAGAGAGAGAGAGAGAGAGAGTTGTGAATTCGTCTTTGGGAGATTTGTCTTCCCATTACTACACACTGTTGATGATACTGCAATAATTCCTTCTCCTTCCTCGTTGTTTGTGTCGTCGTCGTGTTGTTATCTCCTCTGTTACTATAAATACTTCCTTTGAGTCTTTGTGTGTAAGTTTGTCTTGTTGGTGTGCTGTAAATGAATTCTATAGGCCTATATCTTGTTTGTCTTTATATTCACATTTTTTTTTTGTCCCTGTAAACACCAACTAAGCTTTATTCTTTAGTCTTCTTTCTATGTAAATGTAACGCGACTCTGGTATTACCGGGAAACATGAAGTATATTTTAACGTCGGGGGTTGAGCGTCTGTAAATTCTGGTGTGAGAGTTAGCGAGCTTCACAGTATTCTAGAACTTAGTTGTAGTTATTGTTCGTCGCAGATATTTGGGGAATAGGATGAACAGCGACGTATAGTTAAAAAAAATTAATACATCCTCGTAAAAAAAAAAATCTTCGTGAGGTATTTACGAATCACACAAAACCGCAAAATACTTCAGTAGTTCGGGTGTTCAGAGTAAGAACTTCAGAACTTTCAGCACATCTTTTAGGAGAATATTAGGCGGGCAATTTTCATTCCTTGGATGAATCACCTCGTTAGAATTCCTCCTCACTGTTTGCGGCTTGTCGGGCATTTAGAACACCCGTCACAACATCAAAGGCAACAACCACTACCTCGCCCGGCCAAGGCACTCTTGCGAAAAATCCGTGTCGGCAAAATGTTCCCCGTCGAGTTTAATGTGCAGGAAACTGACTTCACTCACGGCCCCTCATAGTGTTGATCGAGGGGCTTAATAGCTATTACCAAGTGATTTTAGCGCCACACCGGTAGTCGGGCAGGAGGCCCCTGGCTGCCTCGCCGTCCCCCGCGCCTCCACCAGTCCCTAAAGGTGCCTCGCGCCAACACTCTCATCCTAACTGAAAATCTCGCCTCCGTCCCAATATTTGCCGGCAATTATCTTGTTCTTGGGCGGTCGTCAGTTGCTCTCTTTCTCACCGAATCAGTTCATGTATAAAGAATGTAACTGTCGTTTCAGCCCACATCGGATTTGAATAGAACAACGGTTGATCATTCACAGTGAAAATCGACGAGACCTCCTGGGGTGTGGGGGCGGAGCATGCGCGGCCCTGACTGATGGCTGGGAGGAGCTTACGTTGCCTTTGACCAATGAGTGTAGAGGAGCTGGGCGGGCCTACTCGATACCGTCCCTTTGCTTTGGGAAGACAAAGGCGTGCGTTGATTGGCCGATGAGTGCGGTGTCCCTCCCCTGAAGAACCGTCCATGGAGTTTGTAGTTTTTCTATCAGAAAGACTCTGGTCGCGGGGCTGGTGTGTGCACTGTGGTCAATGTTTTCTACCTGAGTGTGGGTCGGTTTGAGTGGTGTATACAAGGGGAGCGTGTGGAGGCCGCTACTGGTGGCGTGAGAGCAGCAGTACCGCCGTCACCCGCGCCCTCACGCTGGCTCTCCCCCCGGCACTCAGCTCGGCGTCCTCCTCCCTCCAGCCCCCGGCGCGCCAGGCCCTCGCCCACGCCACGCACGCCTACCTGGAGACTCCCTACTACCTGAAGCGCGACCCGGAGGACCTGGTAGGGTCGGTAGCGACCCCTCCGGGCGGCGACCTGATGACCCTCAGCCCCCGCCACACCACGCCCTTCTCCGTTTCTGACATCCTATCGCCCCTGGAGGAGCAACGCCGTGCCCTCGACTTGCTCGACGACCGCCGCCTCGACCTGCTAGACTCGGGCAGCTACGGGCGCGCCGCCGCCGCCATGCAACCCGCCGGCATGCAGCACGTGGCCTACCCGCCCGCGCCGCCGCCCACCACCTACTGCACACCCGATGTTTACGACGCCCGCGCCTCGGCGCCATCTTGGTACCAGACTTCATCTTCTGATCCTCGATTTGCAAGTAAGTACACCATACGCACCCCACGTGAGGGTCACCCACTGTTAATACAACCTTTATGGCGGCGCGTGAGACTCAGTGATGATTTTGTATAGTATTGGGAAAAGTACATACATTGTCTTTGTTCTACCTGGCGCTCACCCTCCTCCACCCCCCCCCCCCTCTCCGTTGACAGTAGTTGTGTAACTTATGTAAATTTATGAATATACAATACTCCAGGCTCGTGTAACAACCGACACTGAGCCAGAGGTTAGTCATGTGTCATTAGTCAGGTCATCCCCGTGTTAACTGTACATCTCTCCACCTGAGTGATGACTCGCACTGTAGTGTTCCTGACCCGAGACAACGACCGAGATATAGTCAGTATTAGTCGTGAGTTAGACGATGACTGGGAACCTGATGTTACTCCTCAAGACTCACCGCCAATAAGATGGATCGTCAGTGTCACATCTCCGGCGGCCACAGTAACCTCTCACAGTCTCCAATAATGAGTCGTCCAGGCCCCGACACCCACCACCAGGCCCCGACACCCACCATCAGGCCCCGACACCCACCATCAGGCCATGAAATAACTCATTAAGACCCCGAGTGACCCTTCGTCAGGACCTCGAGAAATGTCAACAACCAACAGTCAGGCTCAACAAACCTCCCCTTCACAAATTGGGTACAAAATAATCGCTCCCCTCCATCTCTGTCTCCGTCAGGGTTTAATTGCTCTTGCAACCAGGGTTCCAAATATCAGTCTCTCCCTCATCGTTCTGAGACTGTACATTATCCATCCCCAACAGGGACCTGAAATACTCCCTTTAGGACCACAGCCTTGAATATCCCGTCCCCAGCTACCATCAAGTTCATTGTATTCTCCTCCTCCTTCAGAGACTATAATAAACGCCCCTCCGTCCTCAGTGTCAGGCGCCGCTCGACCCGTGACGCTAGACGGACGGGTGACGGATGTGTCGGGGCGTCCACCGGGCCCCGGCGCACCAACCACCGTCACTCCCGCCGGAACTAACACCCATCCTCCGCCGCGGCAACAGACAGGTAGCCAGGGGCGAGCCATGGATTCCGGCAGTTTATTTGCACCCAAGTTCCTCACAGACAGGCGGCCAGACTCTTCTTTATTCCTTGATTTATTTGTGCCACATCGCTGTTTTTTTTATGCCGTAAAAATATTTAGCAATGACTTAAAGCTTTTAGTTCAGCGATGTATTTATGTGAGAGGCGCGGCACGGGCAGTGTGCTGGTGTCGCCTGCTATTAACACAACATCACACAGTAGCGGTAGAGAATCTCACTATACCACTTACATAACGAAACTCTCTACAGCGTGAAAATCTTAACTGTTGCTGTCTGCCTCACACACGATACATCTCAGCGTCGTGTGACTCGCGGGGAGGGAGAAGATAACATCAACAACCTGTCAATAATTCCCGCCACAGACTCACTAAAGACACGCCATAATTTACCTTCCACTTCATCAAACTGAAACTCATTAAAAAATTATGCTTAGACGATCTGACTTTATTTACTATCTAACTATTTATTCATTTACTTTCGGGGAGCATAGAGGAGAGTCGGGGTGTAGCAGTGAGGGAATGAGGAGCGTGCAGGTATAGGAGTGAGAAGCATAGAGGCATAGCAGTGAGGAGCATGGACGTGTAGCAGTGAGAAGCATAGAGGCATAGCAGTGAGGAGCATGGACGTGTAGCAGTGAGAAGCATAGAGGAATAGCAGTGAGGAGCATGGACGTGTAGCAGTGAGAAGCATAGAGGCATAGCAGTGAGGAGGAGTGTGAGGGTCGGAGGGCGGGGTGCAGGTGACGGGTCGACACGATGTGTGGCCAAGATACCCGCTGAGCCGATTATGTCGCTACTTTACCGGGCCGAGAGCGCTGTCCCGGATACTTTAGAAGTCTTGTTTATTTTTATAAGGCTTAGGGAGAACTCCTTTACCTGCGGGAGGGTGAAGGTGTTACTTAACATCGTGACAACTAGAGTGACGTGTTGAAGGAAAATGACCTCAAGTGTTTGTAAATATTTCACCAACTTTTAACGTGGGTTTTCATAAGTTAAGGAACGACCTGTAATACATATATACGGTGCTTATAGAGAGAATATCCCCCCTGTTCATTGGATATCAAGAGCAGTGTGTCACGGAAGCTACAACAACACAAATAACTAACAGTGAGACGCCGTGGTATATTTCCTGCCCGCCGACCGCTATTTCCGTCATAAGACCCACGAGCCAGTACAGGAATAAACTTATAATAATACAAATCCTCCACATTATCGACTGCGACTTGGTGATAATATAAAGCTCAATATTTACCGTCGTTTATTAACCACATGAATAAATTACCTCATGATGCGACAGGCGAGTGAGCGAGTGGAATAGAAGTGTCTCAGTGTGTATAAGCGGGATCTGTTTAAGCCCCCGCTGGTGTTCCAACATATCTCTCTCTCTCTACCAAATAATCTGACGGTGTAATGTTCCCCTTATCAACTTCTTACCTCTCCCCCCCCATCGATCAATACCTTCCTTGAGCGCGTGATTGACTGACAAATTGAGATGGTTTTGTGTATAGAGTCTTATCATCATCATCATCGTCTCGCATAATATTTTGTTCTTTCACGACGGGATCATTGCTACGAGAGAGAGAGAGAGAGGTACTTTTACTTGTTGGTTGGTTGGGGTTTGGTTGGTTGGTTGGGTGATATAAGTCGTCCGCTCCACCACAGAGCTCGGCAGTACCAGTCCGCTATCCCTTGTTACAAATAATTGGCAATAAGTTTCCCACACGGATCCCTTAAGTCGAGGATGGAAAGGGGGGGGTGGGGGGGGGGGATTCCAGTCGGCCTCACTTACCCGCTGAGGAAATTCTTGGGTTTTAATTGATGTTTATGTTAGGCTCAGGGGGAAGAAAAGAAGGAGGGAAGGAAGGAAGGAAGTACAGAGGGAGGGAGAGATGGGAGGTCTAAATGAACACCGTGGATGGCATTATTTTTGTAGTTCTTCTTCTTCTTCTTCTTCTTCTTCTTCTTCTCCTTCTTCTTCTCCTTCTTCTTCTTCTTCTTCTTTGTAATCCTTCGAATGTTGTGCTGGATTATTATCAGTAGTTGTAGTTATAATAATCTAACCCCTTGAGTAGGATGACCATTTGAGTATGATGACTTAACCACCTCCTGAGTATGATGACTTAACCACCTCCTGAGTATGATGACTTAACCACCTCCTGAGTTTGATGACTTAACCACCTCCTGAGTATGATGACTTAACCACCTCCTGAGTATGATGACTTAACCACCTCCTGAGTATGATGACTTAACCACCTCCTGAGTATGATGACTTAACCACCTCCTGAATATGATGACTAAACACCTCCTGAGTATGATGACTTAACCACCTCCAGAGTATGATGACTTAACCACCTCCTGAGTATGATGACTTAACCACCTCCTGAATATGATGACTTAACCACCTCCTGAGTATGATGACTAAACACCTTCTGAGTATGATAAAACTCCCTGAATATGATGACTTAACCTCCTGAGTACATCATCATAATACTCGAGGTAGTACAGCTCATCGTACTTAAAGGGTTTTATAAAGCTGTACTCAAGAGATCAAAATCACTATAGTACTCATGGGGTATAATTCATCGTACTCAAGTCTTTAAGCTAGCCCAAACACATGGATTAATTCAACGTACTCAAGGAATTAAACTCACCGTACTCAAGAGGGTTAAATTCACCGTATATAGTTCAGACATTGGGCTAAGCTAACGTACTCAGGGCAGATGGACTAATTCATCGTACTCAAGAGGTTAAAATCATCGTACTCAAGAGCTTTAAGCGTTGTTTAAGTGCGTCGAAATGAGTGAATTTTCTTTCTTGCCAATAGCTTTGTGTGGAGGTTAATGCTGTTGATATTAGCGGACTAGTTAATATTTGCATTAGTTTACACAGCACGAACACGAATTGACGCGTGAGATTTCGTTTTGGCGCGGCAGTCTCTTTCTCCTGCTGCATCTGCTGCATCTTCTGCTTCTGCTTCTTCTCCTCCTCCACTGTTATCACCATCGCCGCTACTTCTTTCTTCTGCTTCTGCTTCTCCACCATCATCACCAACATTGCCTCCTCCTCCTCCTCCCTATGATTATCACCACCACCATCACCTCCACCACCAACCACCCACCTCCACCACCCACCTCCACCTCCACCACCACCCACCTCCAACCACAACCCACCTCCACCACCTCCACCAACCACAACCCACCTCCACCACCTCCACCAACCACCCACCTCCTCCACATCAAGAGTTATAATGGCACGACTCAATTAGGCGAGGCTCGTGGTATAGGGAGCCGCTGCTTAGACTGGCACGGCTCCATTAAGCCTTCTTTAACGACCACGATAGCTAAGTTAGCCTTCATGAACGTCCCGACTGAAGTTACCTGAAATAATACTGATGAATTATGTTTACCTTTCAATGTATGTGTCACGCTGAAGCTGGGTTAGGTTAGGTTAGACGGTAATTACAGGATTAGTATACATTAGGTGTTACTGAATCGCCACCTGAACACAAATCTGAAACCTTCATATTTTTATTCTTCCATTAAATAAATTCCATCATTATACATTACATAATTATTGTATTTATGATTTATTTCTAATATAATTATTGCATTATTTAATTATACTGGAAAAAAATAAATACAGTATTGTATTACACCAAATGAATGGAATTATTTGAGCGAGTTCCTGAAATTATTAAATTATTATTTTTTGCGTTATGAATTATTGCTTCACTGATTATTATTATCATTATTATTACTATTATTACTATTATTATTATTATTACCAATATTATTATTATTATTATTATTATAATTATTGTTATTATTATTATTATTAATCGTTATTATTATTATTATTATCATTATTATTATTATTATTATCGTTATTATTATTATCTTTATTATTATTATTTTTATTATTATTATTA